TAGAGCAACGAATAGAGTATCAGTCATGTTCATCACATCCGCCACTCACATCCTTAGAGTTTGGATGTTTATAGTCCAGTGGTGGTCTTTACCGCAACCTTTCAGATCTTCTCGGAATGGAAACTTCAGACTCTTCTCTTCTTGTGTGTTCTTCAGATACGCTTTGTTCAGATCATCTACAAAGGATTCAGTAGTTTTTGAAACAGCAAGAGTGCCGTTAACAAACTGACCTCTTGTATCGAACTCAACCTGGTCAATGTGCCTCTGGTGGCAAGCGAGCTCATCAAATCGAGAATTGTGACCATTCGTTTGCCATTTGATGAAAGCACTATTCCTGTAGCAGGCCGTAAATCATTGCCCTTGAAAAATGTAACATCAATCGTTTGGCACAGTCAAGACGTGTACGCAACGAACGCGATTTAAATAGAAGCGCGGGACTCTTCCCAGCAACGTAATGAACGGCGATCCTGTATTGCATTAGAAACTGATTAATCCCACGGTCCAAGTCCACAAAAGTCGTAGGAGGGAATGAAATAATGGCAGACTTTAGTGTTCGGACAAAATTCTCAGCAAGTCCATTCGACTGGGGATGTCGCGGCGCGGTAAACAGATGTCGACATCCAAGACCTTTAAAGCATTCCTCGAGGAATTTTGCAGTGAAGTGTGCGCCGTTTTCAGTGACCAAAACGGTTGGTACACCCTCATGGCTGAATACTTTCCTCAAGGCTTGCTGAGTGAATTCGGCATTTGGAGAAGCAGTTAGAAAAATCTCAGGACAACGTGAATATGCGTCAATAACGACCAAAGCATAGTATGGGCCGAGAAAAGGACCACAGTATTCGGCATGAACTCGCTGAAATGCTTCACAAGTGACTGTCCACGGATACCACTGTGAAGACTTGTCATGAATCTTATGTACACGCTTAACACAATTCTTAGCAGTATGCTTGATATCACCATCCAGTTCCGGCCACAAGCATGACAAGCGTGCAAGGGATTTCATTTTATCGACTCCGGGTACCGACGGTGACCTTGGGGACGCGTCGCCATCCGCACATATACTTTTCGTGTCGAAACGCTTCCTGACAGAATGTGTGTTGCGGCATAAACGAGAGATTCAGTTGAGTCCCCCATGTGAACCGAATTCGTACAGAAATGCAAGTATTTTTTAGGTATGAACTTTACCTTGGTTTCACACCACTCTCTGGTGTGAAATTAACGTTGTACATCCTGATTCCCTTACTTCACCTCCATTTTCGAGGCTTGCTTCTATAGTATCCACATGTCTGCCCTCCTATTGGAGCAAGCACAGCACCTTGCCCATTCGAGACACTACAGTTCAAATATTTTAACCGTTCTAGGCATTTGGTTTGTAAGCGCTTCGATACCAGTCCAACCCGATTATGCTTCCTGGTTTGATGACAAAATGCTTGCAAGCCAATTGCCAAGCTTGACGAACAGATCAACACTGAACGAGAAAAAGTGACAAACACATCCAAACTGCCAACATATTGAACTTTGAAAATATTCAATTAGACACGAATCGAAGACAAAATCGGACTGGAATAACAATACAACCCGGACACGAACATTGGTTGGTATTCAAATCACCTTTATCACACGTGTTGTTCAACCACAAAGCCTTACTTCGTAAGACTGCCTGTTTTATGAGTTGCGTAACCGCATGCTATCATTTCTCGCTTACATCCAGCTACCGACATTTAACACTTTTTTAGTAATGTTACTTTCGTCTTGTTCTCACTCCTTGCATTGTCACGTGAGTTTGATTCGTGCAGTGACGTCGGGAAACCGCAGATTAAACTCTGGTTGATATATTTTGCATCACTACAAAGGAACGGTACATACTGTGCACCTGTTAGTCACACCTGGCTTCAGTAACACATGTTACACTGGTCCTCATGCACAAGGCGAAGAAGGGACACCTGTCATAGTGAAGAAAGACTGGATTCTCCACTGCTTGAAAGGGTTTGCTCCTTGGGTGTAGGTTCTTTGGACGACCTACTGAATGTTAGAATTTCACAACCAGCACGGAAATGAATGCATCGTGGTTCATGCCATCGTTAGTACAAACCTTCAAATCTGCTGCGAAAAAAACTGTGTCTGTAAGCAGGAATCCCCAGGAATTACCGCACACCCAGCGACCTTACAACTATGTGAACTATGTGACTTTTTCGCACCCATGCAAGGAGGAAAGTTGTCTGCGGCGGGGTTGTTCTATAGTAAACACCAACTAAACGGTGGCAAACTATTGGACAGGAAAGTAAATATCTCATATGCACCTTATTTTTAAAAACTGAACATCTTCCAGCGTCTTGTTGAATTTTCGTGGATATTCATTGACTATCACGCAAGTGTAAACGAAAGCTGTAAAGCAATTTCACAGGTTCCGTAATAAACTCCATTAGATGCGAGGCGGAGTTATGAGAAAACTACTTACTACTCACATGTCTCATCAGTAGTATCTGCCGTCGCACCCATATCCACCTCTTTGGGCCAGACTGCTTTTATTTGTATACTATGAAAAATATGAGTCATCTAAAAACGTGCTCACTAGCGTACTCTTGTAGTCAGAGTGTGTGATGAGAAACAACGAGGTGAATGGATACTAGTGCAAGGAAGAAGGCCTTCGCTGCAGAGTTAATTATTGGAAAACAACTGAACAGTTACAGACTATCGAACAGGGGAGCGAAACTCTCATATGCCTCTTATTTAAAAAAACTGAATATCCACCCATCCTGGATATTCATTGACTGTTGCTCAAACCCAAGCAGATGCTACAGAGCGACTCCACAAATCCCGCAATAGGTCTCCCTTTTCTTAGAAGACGCAAAGCGAATTTACAAAAAGAAAACATGGTACTCACATGCTCCCCCATCAGTAGTATCACCGTTACACTAGCACACCGGTATCCACCTCTTCCGGTCAACTTTCGGACTTCATTACCATCTCTACGAGAAAGCGATCCTCTAAATTCGATCCCAGTGTTCCTTCTCTTCGGTATGACCCCACCACAGAAGATGAACCAGTCGAATCTAGATTTTTCCACATGTTTCAGAAGGGTTTTGTAAAAAAAAATCCTGGGCTTGTGGCTAGGTGGACAAGGACTCTCTTCAGCCAAGGAATTGATTTACCAACCTGGCCATGTTTAAGGCATACCGAGGACCAATCAACAAAATGTTCCGCGACTAGCACAGAAGACTGATGTTGTCGGTTGGTGTGGGTGCCTAATCGCATCTCCGAGTGTATTTCGTCAGCACACACAAATGGCCGTGAACTCGATGCTTCAGGTAACTTTTGATCCCATTTATGCGGGATTTCTTCCCAGACATGAAGTCTCTGACTGGTGTTTGTTTAGACTCCCATTAGACGCAGGGAGTTTGTTTATGCTATGCGTGCAGGATACCCGTATTGTCAACCTCCGTCATCTTGCTCACACATGACGGACAGCTGTCAGTTGATGATGACGGTCTGACACATTGGTTTTCCGTGACTCAGGTTGTCACCAGATACATACACCTCCTCTCTCTGATTCAGGACGTCCTGAAAAGATGAGGAGTTGTCATTCGAATACTGTGATGGTTCTTGAACTTATCACACGAATCACTCAACCGTGCATCATAGATACATTGTTAGTGTCTTAAGTTTCAGCAAAAATTTGTCGAATGCCACAAGTGCGTCGATTTTTTTCCAGTACATTCTCGTAGTACATTATGCCGCATTATATATCCGGTAGTAGGAGACTGGATCCCACCGCGGTATGACGGCGCACACCCCCATAGCTTATAATGGGGAATGTATACGCGAAATCCACAGAGCCTCTCATACCAGGTTGGTCAGTAGGTAGAGGTCTCCTTACCCCAGAGGATGAAACATGTGTAGCGACTTATTCTATAAAAGTGACGTCGCAGTTGCGTTGTCCCCGCCGCTACCTTAGACTCCGGCTTTTGAGCCAAAGGCTTCGGGTTGGGACCCCCTCCTGTCTAGGTCTGAGCACCCTGGCTGCATCCCAACAGACGTAAAGCCATGAACTGCACAGTTACAAATGAACTCATGCTACATAGGCCAACTATGATGATGAAGACCCATTGTGTATACTATATTTCGTGGAGTGAACCTATGTACATACTCTATGTATTATGTAGTTTGATACACCATAATTTACAGTGTATGCGATGCCATATATTACAACATAACATGCATTGTGCCGCTTATATTCCTATATTATAACGTCATATTATATTGTCTTGACCACCAACTTCAGTGACTTTTTAACGTCTGCCTATTATCTAATGTATTCCCGTTATTTGTGGAAAGCTGTGCCGCATGTTACCTTCCGCATAAACCAGACAAGAAGAACGATGCGGTGGTTGATCAGAGCTCGCTTGCGAGCTCGGCAATTAGCTTACAATCTTCCTTCTTACCTGCTTGTGTTTGTATAATTTTCGAAGATTATATCATATCCTTTTAACTGATTGGCTAATTCGTATCTATCCTTATTGTAACTTCATTGGTTCGTTCACGATTTTTGCCGCGTTGTGATCAATCTAACTAATATTCTATTGGTGAGCTTGTTCTTCTAACTTATGAGCCTTCAAATATGCCTAAACATCTCCGTCATATTTTCAGCCCGTGGTTCTATTTCACCCATGTTGTTATGCGATTTCCCACCGTAACGTCAAAATGGCAATTCGTGATTTAGGGCTGCAGCACTCAGAAAACTATTCTGAGTTCTCTTTAAGACAGCTAACGAACACCCCGTGAACTCGCAGGTAGCGTGTTTGAGCAAACTGATGCTCACAAAATTCTAGGACCTCGAAAAGTTTACCTTTGAGATAGTTAGCATTCATTCGAGTTACTCGGTCTCCATTGACCCAACTTAAGCAAGCTAGATACTAGAGTTCAAATCGCTGCACATCTCGGAGGACCAACAAATGTCTTTTACACACTGTACCACAAACTGACGTGTTTTGTAATCTGATGTATCCCTCAGGCAGCTTACAACGAAGAACTTCAAGCAAACTTCAAGCAAGACGCAAGAACACACAAAAACTTAGGTTGTCGACCGAAGTACACGATAGGCATCATTTGATAGGGTGCTGACAGGTTTTCAGACGGTCGCTAGTGAAGCAGTCTAGTGCTCGAACACCAACGCACTCTGGCATGTGTACAAATCGTGAGTGATCTATGCGTACTTTCTCCAATCTACCCAAACATTGCCATTCGGGTTATGAACCCTGACGAGCTTTAAGCACCTCTTATCGTGGCAGTAACACAAAGTACACAAGTTTGAAAACCATCATGATATTACATAGGAAGTTGTTTCACACCGTGTGTTGAGGAGTGACTTTGTCCTTCACTCAAAAGTCTGCCAATCGATACTGGATCGATCAATTTATCAGCTGTTGGGAATGCTAATGCTCCTCTTGTCCGCTGAATAGTCTGACGATTTGAGTGTGGTTTTCTGCAGCTTTTCAGTCCAACTACTCCACCTGACAACAAAATAGAATGAATGAATCGTTCAAGCTGTCAGCAATTTCATGTTTTGTTAATTAAGTGAACTGGCGAAGAAAAGGCGTTTCAAGATGCTGAAAGCCACTGCAATGCATACCAGATATCTCACTAAAAATGACCTTGGAAGAGTTTGCAGCCGTCTAATCTGACTGATCAGAGGATTTGAAAGCACTCAGAAAGGGGTAAAGTAGCTACGAGAAATACACTCATTTGCAAATCGGTTAGTTTTTCACGAACTTGAGTCCCTCGTTTATGATATTCTTTGGCTGAATGTGCTGCACCCAGGCCGCCTGATGTTTCAGTTGGCACGATATCCGAAATATCGCAGTGTATTTTCATAAAGGGAACTACTCACAACGTTGCTGAAAACACTTCGACGGCCCACAACGTCCTTCTTGCAAATTAGTTCATTTGTCGTAATCGGTAAAATTCGGGTTCAGTTATGACACAAACTTGACAGAAACTCGGGGAATGCACCTACTTGATGGGCCCTAATGGGAATGCCAAAACAGGTCGTCGGCTGTCGAAGAGTTTTCAGCCAGCAATACTTCTTTAGTTTAACAGATAAAGTCGTTTTAGACGAAACATCCTACATGAATAAAACACAAGAGAGGAAAGTTTTCGAAGGAATATAATTTTTCATGCTCCTAATTCTGCAGGGAAAAGCAATCGCCCAAGCTAAATAGATTATTCCTTGTTCCTCCCTGTTTCTCACAAAGGGACAGCAGGACGGAAGCGCCCTGTGACTTTAACGGAGATGTTAAACTGTTAATCGATTGACACAGTGGTTCGACATATCGGTGAGTTCGTCCTGATTGTACGAGATTCGGTTTGATCGATAAATTAGCCTTGGGTCCATGCGCCCTACGTATGTTGATCTCATGTGCAATCGAGAAGTATCTTTGTGTAGGTACGGAAAAATAGATTTTAATAATGACCCCAAGGGCAAATATCGACCGACCCACGTGTTCCTGCAGCACTGCAGTTTCTCGTCTTCGGATATCTAGCGTATCTTCTGGGAAAGAGGCAAGAAATATCCCCAGCACGAAAAAGTATGGTTGAAACCTAATTGTCCCCTGTTGTAGGTGTACGATACCATTCTCGGCATCGAACAGACATTTCGATATCCCCGAATGTGTACCGTTTTGTACAGCTCGTGAAAGCCTCGGACAATTTGAAATAGATGGGAGCCGCACGCTCAAACTTCAAACCAGTGTGAAAGAAGGCCGGAAACTTCAAAACCTCACTGCTCTTACTTTCTAGCCACCTTCAGTTTCCCACTCGTCCGTTGTGCTGCACAGTCAACCAATCACCATCAGGCAGCACATTGGTGAACCAATCACACTTTACTGTGCCGACCATAAAGCGACTATAAACTGGGAAAATACGTCCATAATTATCCTACACTTTTCATCCGTTTAACCATACGCCACCCAATTGAAACCCGACAAAACAACAGTTGGCCGCTGACTTTCACCTCACGAAATGGAGCAATCTATGTGGAATACTACTGATACCATTACAAGTAGTCATTAGAGGATTTACAAACCACAGTTTGCTACTACCTGCTTCCCAAACTGCTCACCTATTTGGTAAGTCTCTGCTGTCCCCAGTTTACCTGCACTTCATCAATGGAAACCTGGTCAACGAGATAATTCCCTTATAATAAAAGAAACAGTGAATACTAGTGAATACTAGTCATTGCACAGCGCTGGACGTTCCCAATCCTTTTAAGATACTCCCTCTCTATTGTTTTAAATAAGCTTGGGGGAACCCGATTAGAGCCGATGGGAAATACCTTAGGTATCCAATGAATCAATAAAAGTTACCCGACAGGAATCGCACACATATACGCATGCAATTCGCGATGGAATTCCCAACTAGACTGTCATCCCTAGAGAATGCGCTCACTTATTTGCGTCCGATGAATAGATATCACTTCTCTTGGTTTGGTCACTCAAGGATTGAAGCCATTACACCCGAAGTAACAGTCAACCAACTGAC